CCTTTGAGTATGTTGGGGTGGAAGGTCATAGGTATGCTAACGATGTTGTAAAGTTGTCCTCCTCAATCAACTCTTCCACGTTGGGTCCCAATGATGAGAGGGACCCTCCCGTCGACGACCAGGTTGCTTCACCAACTGTCGAGAACTCCTCTCAACTACTTCAGGAAAGTGAAGACGACATGGTGGCAATCAATGTCGACTTCACCGATGAGTGGGACGGAAGATACAAAACTAGGCCCACCATTGCTGGTTATGATTAGGCTCCCCACGAGGTTAAGCTTTATTCCTCCTCCTTCGTCATTGGAAAATCAATAGAAGATCTGGCCAGTAAGGTTTTCTTGGTGAGGAAGGCCAGTGATGCAGATTGTTTTAAGTTGGCCGTCTACCAGTAAAACCAGCGGGTTTGCCATGGCCAAGAAGGGTATGCCTCAGATTTCTTCTACTCCTATTCGACATTATTCCACAATTTGGGTGTTTTTCTTCCTTCTTAAACTTTCAAATGGGCGTGTTGTGAGAACTTAACGTTGCTCGTACCCAACTTCATCCGAACAGTTGGGCTTTCATGCAAGCATTCTCGGTTGTTTTCGGCGCTCTTGCACTTACTCCCACTCCTACTTCGTTCCTCTATTTCTTCTGTGTCACTCCTCACCCGAACAAGCCTTGGGTTTCCCTTATCTCAATAAAAGAAAGACAATTATTTACGTTGTTCAACACATCTTACAAAGACTCCAACGGAAATTTCCTCAAGGTTGTCCTTCTTAAGGCCGGTCGTTCCCATTTTTATTTTCCGAATGACCAGCCTAAGTTTCCATTATACTTGACCGATCGTCCCAAGAAAATAATTTCTTGTCCCAAGTCCTTCATGATCCCTAAGGAGCTAGAAGTGATCAACCAACTAAGTCAGCTACCCCTCAAGGCCTCCTCCCGCTCAACCCAAACCTATGGGTGGCCCGTCGAATTCAATTCAATCTCATCCCCGAGGAGAAGGAGTATTTCAAGGGGATGACAAAAGAAGAGGCCTCTGACATGGCTTACGAGCTGGCCGCTCGGTCCAGCGTATGCATAGCCTATGTTGCTTCTAGGAGGAAAGTTGCTCTCCGCAGAGCTACAAGCTCTTCAAGAAAAGCTTGATCCAACCATAAAGTCGAATGAAGAGCTTACCCTTCGGGTAGTAAAGGTTGAGAAGGTTCCTGTTGACAAGAAAACGAAGGCCAAAAATTTACTTGCTGAGGCTCGCACCATCGCACGTCAACTACAACGATCCAACGATGGCTTGAAGTTGGATCTTCAACGTTCTGTGGAGAAGAACAAGGAGCTAGTCATTGAAATGGAAAGCCTTCTAACAAATCGGGATTCTCTTCACGGCAAAGTGCAAAAGTTAGACGATGAAAATAAGTTCTTAGGTGAAGAGGTTATTAACGAACATGTCCTGGGCTTCAACCAGGTCATCCAATGTAACTTCTTTCATCAAGTGCCAACAGATGATCTTCGCTTCAATGTTATGAAGATTGTGGTTAAGGGTAAACTTGTACCCCCCCCCCTATTGTTCCCTAAGACTCCAACCCCGATCGCTTCTTCTGTTGAGCCTCACAAAGTAGTAGTTGAAGTTATTGCAGAGGCCAAACGTGAAAATGTTTAGTTTTGCATAATTTTTAGGTTTAATAGGTTCGGAGGTCCCTATATTTGGGGGTTCGTTTCAATTGGGTCCTCCAATTTTGAAAGTGATCAATTAGGTCCCTAATTTGGTAAATGTGATTCAATAATAGGATCTCCGTTAAATTGATCACTTTCAAAATCATGTTTTTCGAGGATAATTGATATCTGCAAACCTTACCAAATCATGTTTTTCGAGGATAACAATTATCCTCAGCTTGCCACTTCATAACAAAGTTAACAGAGTTAACTCAATTTAACGGAGATCCTATTATTGAATCACATTTACCAAATTAGGGACCTAATTGATCACTTTCAAAATTGGAGGACCCAATTGAAACGAACCCCCAAATATAGGGACCTCCGAACCTATTAAACCTAATTTTTATCTACTTTTTGTACTGGGGCCCATATACTTATCTACCCCTTCGCTCTTGTATTGAACTTTATGAATGAATCTATGCATTACTTTTCCTTTTCTTTTTCATTCTTTCTCTTTCACGTTCTTCCAATCACTTTGATCCTAGTGAATTGTTTCCTATGTCGAATTGGTAGACTCTAGGAATTCACTTAGAACGTTCCCTAGGTCAAGAATGCTAAGGTGAGAGTTGCAAAAATGTTCCTCACCGAGCGTTGGACTCTAGGAGTTCAACTTAGAACGTTCCCTAGGCCGAGCTTACTAAGGTGAGAGTTGCGAAAACATTCCTTACCGAGCATTGAACTCTAGGAGTTCAACTTAGAACGTTCCCTAGGCCGAGCTTACTAAGATGAGTGTTACGAAAACGTTCATCACCGAACGGTGGACTCTACGAGTTCACTTAGAACGTTCCTTAGGTCTAGCTTGCTAAGGTGAAAGTTACGAAAACGTTCCTCAGCGAATGGTAGACTCTAGGAGTTTACTTAGAACGTTCCCTAGGTTAAATTATTTGTATGTATTGCTTAAAATTTGGATGGAAAACACCTAATGTTATTAAGAGCTGAATTGCATTTTACATCGTAAACTATCAACTAAAATAAAATTTAAGGTGCAATGCATTCCAGGTGTTGGGTATTGCTTTTCCTGTTGGGTGTTCCAATCGGTATGCTCTGTTCTTCAAGTTTTCAACGACCCTGAAATGACCGTCTCAATTAGCAACTAGCTTTCCTTCCTCCCGGTTTCTTCGAGCGTCTCCCATCTTTCGCCAAACTAGATTTCCCTCGGCAAACTGCCTTGGCTTAATCTTGGTGTTGTAGCGACGAGCGACCAACCTTTATTGAGCATCCGCTCGGACAATTGATATTTCTCTTCTTTCCGCCAAGGTATCCAACTCCACCCTTAGCTAATCATCATTCACCCGCATGTCCATCATTCTCCTTCTAAGAGTTGGTTCCCCCACTTCTACTAGCAACATGACATCAGTTTCATACGTAAGATTGAAGAGTTTCTCTCTGTTTGTACCGTGTGGTGTACAACGGTATCTCCAAAGAACCTCTTGCAACTCATCAACCCAAGCTCCTTTAGCACTTCCCAAACGCTTCTTTAACTCCAACACTATGACTTTATAGGCAGCCTCTACCTGCCCGTTTGTGTGAGGATGCTCCACTAAACTAATGACATGCTTGATTCCTAAGTTTGAATAGAAATCTGCGAGTCGTCTATCTATGAATTGTCGATCGTTATCCGTCATTATTGTACGTGGTAAGCCAAAGCGACAAATGATTGTCCATACAAACTTCTAGACTTACGCAGTTGTTATTGTAGCCAAAGGTTCCACCTCCACTCACTTCGTGAAGTAATCAATGGCTATCAGGAGGAACTTCTTCTGTGACCACCCGATCGGAAGAGGTCCGACAATGTCCATTCCCCATTGAGTAAACCGCCAAGGGGACACCAAGTTTGCAATTCAGTTGGTGGCAAGTTTAGATTGTTCCCATTTCCTGACACCTCACACATTTTTGCACGAACATTTTGCAATCTCTTTCCATCGTCGGCCAGAAGTATCCTGCTCGCAATGCCCTTGCATGGAGAGCTTGCTGCCTAATATGCATTCCACCCGTCCCTTCGTGCAATTCTCTCATCACATACTCAGCTTCATCCGACGAAATGCACTTTAACAATGGAACTGAAAATCCCCACCTGTAAAGGTCGCTGCCTATGAACAAGTACCGAGCAATCTTTTTGACCTTCGTTGTTCTATGGTCGAGCCTTCCTCTTGCCTTTTGATCAATTCCCCAATCTCCTTTCTCTAGTCCGGAAGATTGGATATCTCAAATATAGGCAAACATTCAATGGAGGGCTTCAACACAACCTGTCGTATGATTGAGGACAATTGGCCCTTTTCCTTACTACTAGTTAATTTTGACAAGATATCAACCCTAGTGTTTTCTATCGTGGGCACATGCTTGACTTCTACCATTTGGAATTATTTCACTAATTCTTTGCTTTTATGATAATACAGGAGCATTTGGTCGTCTTTAGTCTGAAAGCTCTCGTCTAGCTGCCCAACCACTAGTTGTGAATACGTTCGACATTCAATGGAAGTGCCCCCAAGTCTTTGGCTAATTCAAGACCATCAATCACTGCTTCATAGTCAGCCTGATTGTTACTAATCTTGAATCGAAAGAGAATGGATTGTTCAACAAGTAATCCATTCGATCCTTCTAAAACAACTCCTTCTCCCTTGCCTGTTTTGTCAGTTGATCCATCTATAAAGAGTTTCCAAGGCTGCGAAGGCTCTTCTCCCTGTAGAGGTAATTCAACTACAAAATCAGGTAAGTGTTGACCTCGAACGGATCCGTACAGTTCAAATTGTAAGCCAAACTCGGACAACTCTACTGACCAGCCTACTATCCTTCCCACCAGATCTGGTTTATGCAATATCTTAGCAATGGGATGGTCGGTTCTTACCACCACTTGATGGCCTTGAAAATAAGGCCTTAGTCGTCGTGCGGCTACGACAAGGACTAAAGCAATCTTCTCCACTTCCTTATACCTTGTGTCTGCGTCCTGTAAAGTTTTACTGATAAAATAGACGAGTTTGAACTCTGGGCTTTCTTGCACTAGAGCTGCCCTGATCGTTTCCTCCGACATCGCTAGGAATAACTGCAAATCGTTCTTTGGATCAGGTCGGTCCATCACGGGCGGGCTAGCTAGGAAAGCCATTTACATCGTTGAAAGCCTCCTCACACCGATCGTCCCAGCTAGTCTTGGCACTCTTCTTCATCACCTTTACGATAGGCTTGATACGCTCGGCCAGTCTTGGGATAAAACGGGATAACGAAGTCAGTCGTCCCACTAAGCATTGTACCTCCTTAAGGTTTTAGGGGCTTCTCATTTCTAGCAACACCTTACACTTGTTCGGATTCGCCTATATCCCTCTGGCCGTAAGCATGAAGCCCAAATATTTGCCAGCAGGTACTCCAAAGGTACACTTAGCTTGGTTCAACCGCATTCCATACTTGCACATCTGACCGAACACCTCAGCAAGATCTTTCCCATGATCCTCTACTAACCTGCTCCGTATGACCATGTCATTGATAACAGTTGAAAAACTGTTATTTTTATACTTAAAATTGACTTCGATTACAACCTTTATGTCTTAGAAATTAGCTTGAACTCATGATTTTGTTGAATTATTGGAAATAACAGAGTTGAACAGGTTTTATGCTTGATTTCCTTGGTTTTGCAGGTTTTTAGATGAAATTGATGAAACAAGTGAAAAGGGATAGAGATGGAATCAGAAAAGGACACAAAAAGTGCAAAAGAAGAGAATCAGCAAGTACCGCTCAGCGCCAATTACCGCTGAGCGACACTCGCAAAGACCCGTTGGCACTACTGAGGGGAGAAAAGCCACTGAGGGGAAGAATTGACACGCGCTACTACCGCTGAGCAGCACTTTTCTGGGCTTGGGCCTACTTTTCTGTAATTTTTAGAATATTATATAAGCTTTAGGACGTTCTAGGGTTTGTATCTTTGGCTGGGACGAAGCAGAAACACACTTTTCACCCCTTGGGGGTAGAATTGGAGATGGTGACGGCTCTTCGCTTCTCTTTCTTGGGTTTTTCTATCTCTTCCATTCTTTCATTCCATTGTTCATCTAGTTCTTCCATGACGATGGAGAACTAAACTTATTTTGTTGTTGGGGAATCAATGTAAATCCTTAGAAACTCTCTTGTATGGAATTTGTTCTTCAAGATCATTTTTATGATACATGCTTTATTTCATTAATTGTTATAGATATTCTCCTTTGCTCAAATTCTTGTGATATTTTATTCATGTATGGCATAAATCTTATGATTTGTAAGTATCAGGAGATTTCGTACCCCTAGGGTTGGACGATTTGGGGATGTGACAACTCTCCTCTTCTCTCCCTAGGATTGTTATTGAGAGATATCTTACAAATCACGATCTGGGGAATTCTTCCAACAGTACATTACAAACCTAGACATAGGAGTATGATAGTTGGTTGCCTTTAAACTTCTATTCACTATAATGCATGATTAATTGCTAGGGAGACAAGACATTGTAAACTAGTGATTATGATTAGGCTTTCTTCGCCGAGACATCGGGTTTTGAAATAATTTAGAAAGGGGCATTAGCATTAATGAAAAGAATGATGAATTCTTAAATACAAGAGAGTGGATATGATGAAATTGATAAACTCCAACAACATATTCATCCATATATTTCAATTCACGTGTTTTGTTTCTTCTTGCCCATTGATCATCACATGCATACATATTTACTTTTTAGTCTTTTGCATTTGAAACTTACAACAATTTATTCATAAGTCTTAATTAATCAATAAATCACATAATTGTCTAGGCCGTGAGTCCTTTGGGAGAACGATACTTGGTCTTACCAGGTTTATTACTTAATACGATTCGGTTACACTTGCCAAGGGTTAACAAGTTTTTGACTCCGTTTTCGGGGATTGAAGATTTGTTCATCAGTTATCCACATAAACCTCCATGCACCTTCCAATCTGATGATGAAACACCTTATCCATCAAACGCTGATAGGTGGCCCCTTCATTCTTAAGGCCGAATGAATTTATCTCATAGCAGTAATTTGACCGCTCATTGATAAAGGTTGCCTTCTCACTATAAGGTGGTACCTGGGGATTTGGTTAAACCCCGAATAGGCTTCCAGAAAACACAAAACTTGGAACACTCAGGCTCCGTCTACCAAGGCATCAAGGCTAGGAAGAGGGTAGGCGTCTTTAGGGCAGGCTTTGATCAGGTTCGTGAAGTCTATACACATCCTCCACTGCCTGCTCGACTTTTTCATCATCACAATGTTTACTAGCCAAGTAGTGTACTTGACTTCACGAATGAAATTCGCTTCCAAAAGTTTCTTCACCTCGACTTGTACTGCCAATCTCTTCTCCTCTCCTAGCCTCCTCTTCCTCTACGCCACCGGTCGAGCTTCTTTGAATAAGGCCAAATATGTGTGACATAACCCTTGGGTGTATTCTCGGCATATCAGTTGCAGTCCAGGCGAAAAGATCGTTGTTACGAATTAACTCCCTGCCGATTAGTTTAGCCTACTCTTCAACCAGTTTACTTCCAATAGAAGTAACTTGGTCTTCTAGGCGTCTAAGGCCGAACAGTCTCGTTTCTCCCAATGGCTCCATTCGGTTATCTGTATTGGTTCTATGATCCAGATCCGCCATTGCCACCTCTAACCGCCTGGTTTTAAACCGAGAAGTTAGGGGTTCGACCTTCAATCCCGCAACATAACATTCCCGAGCAACATTTTGATCTGCCCGAACGGTGCAAATGGTGCCCTTGTCTAATGATAACAGTTGAAAAACTATTATTTTCATGCTTGAAATTGATACTAAAAGCAACCTTTAACACTTAGAAACTAGCTTGAAATCATACTTTTATTCATATTTTCAGAAATAAGAGAGCTGGACAGGTTTATGCTTGATTTCAGTGTTTTTGTGCAGGTTTTAAGGTGAATTTGGTGAAAGAAGTGAAGAAGGAGAGAGATGAAATCAGAAAAGACATCAAAAAGTGCAAAAGGAGAAG